TCTGCCTCAATCATCTCCTTTTTTTTGTTTGCACGTTCTATTTTTTTATTAAATTTATAGTAAACATTCAACAACTAAGTTTATGCAATTGGCTAAGCCAATTGAACCCAGCCTGTAATCCCAATATTATTAGTAGTCCATGAGGATATGTCAGGGGTCCCTGGTGCAGGGGCCAAAATAAAAAAAACCAGACTTGTAAGATTGCTAAGTGTGACAAAATTCTGTCATGTACAAATGGAGATGCTAATATTTCATGAGTTTGACAATCGTCTGAGATCTTAGCCATTAAACATTTATAATGCAATTTTTCCGGTTGGAAATTTATACAGTACTTGTATGAATTGTAAAATGCTACATTGTTATGATAAAAGAAGAAAGATTGAGATTAAACAGTTGCAGCAGATATGAACATTTAATATATCCATGGTCCAACGAACAGATATTCCATCCATGGTGGACCACCTGCATCTGGGAGCATCTGTCTTTGTTCCCAATCTAAAAAAGAACCTGGCAAACAGGAAATGGGCCTGCAAGAGGTTTTACCTAAGATATGGAGACCCTGTCTCTCATGGTGGAGACCACTGGAATCAATGACACTAACACGACTTTCCTAATCTTCCAAATTAACTAGGAGATATTAATTATTAACATTATATCATTAGCCATTATAACATTAGCCGTAAGCCATGCTGATTGGAGATGATGGGATCTGAAAGATATCAAAATAGAGAAATCTAGACCAATGATCTGGTTTTGATAAAAATCCACATTTTACTTTCACAAGCTACATTTGACGCCCTTCAGAAATCACCCGAAAAGAGTATCTTACTCAAGAAATACGGAAGGACAATTGCCTTAGGAAAAGTAATGTTTTAATATTCAAAATGCATTTTCTCAAAATGGATGTTTCTTGAACAAAAGGGGCCAAAGTACCAGATTCACTTTTCTTTGCATTTGACTCTTACATCCAATAGAAGTCCAATATAAATAGTAGGCAATGTGCAGCAATATGTTTTTCATGATCAGGATTTACTAATTCCTCAAAGGCATGAGTCATAAACGCAAAACCATTTTTGGGGTGTGATGTTATATCTAACTCAAAAAAACACTGAGGATACTTGCCATTTTCTTAATTACTTTGTTTCCAAAGACCTTGATAGTTTTCTCAAGCTTCCAGGATTAACTTCACAGCAAGGGTTCTAACACGATCCCAAGATTCTTTGCAATCTTACAGTATTTAATTACTAATAACAGAGCTGACCAAGCTGACTGTCTTGTAATGTGTGTGTGTGTGTGTGTGTGTGTGTGTGTGTGTGTGTGTGTGTGTGTGTGTAAAAATGAGAGGGGGAGAGGGAGAGGGAGGGAGAGAAGGGTTGGACGTGTGTATGTGAGCCTGGGAAGCAAGCCCTGTGGCAGGCTGATGGACAGAGGGTGATATGGCAGAAATCTGAAATGGGTCAAACCTGGGGACACTGGGCCTGCTGCTGGAAAGCAGTACCATTGTCTGGTCCTTGGTGTCTACCCTCAGAGCCTGATAATTGGATCTTGGTGACCCTTGTTGCTTCGTCTCCCATTGCATCTGCCTGGCCACTTCAATCCTGAAGAGTTGGTATTGGGTTATTTTGATTAAACAATGTCATCCAACATGCCATCTCTGTAGCAGCACCTGCCCTCTGCAACTAGGCTCCCCCTGAGACATGAATGTTCCCCACTCTGCTGTTGTTCAGAAGAGTCTTGAAGATCTAGTTTTTTACCCAGGCTCTTTACCCATTCTGAGTGGTCTGTTCTTAAAATTTTTATCAATGTAATTGTGATTTCTTTTGATTGTGAGCCATCCAGCATTGTCAGGCAGATGAACGTTTCATAAATACCTTGACACCTGTTAAGACACTACCTTGACATGATTAATTATGGTTTTCAACTTTTTTTTTATCTCATAGCATACATCTTACAGGTGGAACATACAGCTGATGAAACAACTGAATACCTGTGGACCTTTTGTGGAACAAAAATGTGCTATGGCACCCTAGTTGACAACCGCTACTCTAGAAAATTACTAGATGGCAGCAAATTTTAGTCTCTGTTGCTATCTAATAGTCTTTGGAGCTCCACAATCCAGATGATAAATTTACTTTTCACTCTTTTTATTTTACCCATTTTTAAGATGTTACTATTTTTCTTTCTTTCCAATGTAATTTAATTAAAGGCATAAATAATAAAGTTACAACTTATAATATCAATCCAAAAAATGAATAGAGGAACACTGCAGATTTTGGCTGGCCAGTTCAAAATTTCCTTGGAAGGAAATTTTGTGTTTGGAGAAAACACATAACACCACAAAAAAAGTTAATGGAAAAAATCTAACAGTTTGGTTTTCATAAGCTAGATCTCCTCAACGCAGTTTTCTAATTAAGTGTTCATTTGTACCTAGGTGTTTATTAAAAACACCAAGTTTTTCTCCTGGAGATTTACATATGGTCTCTGAATTTTCTTTTTATTTATAATTTCTGGTTTTGGCATGTGACACTGAAAATGGTTCCAAACCAATTAAAAAACTGAGTAAAGATTTGTAATTATAAAGAAAGAGAATGAGCTGTATTCCAGTTAATTAAACTTCTGACTACAAATCCTATGAGATACATACGTGGGAGTAAATGCCACTGACCCCAGTGGGAGTTTCTTAAGCGTAAGCTGCAAGTCACAGACGGTGTTTCTGAACAGAAAGCCTTTTAGCAGCAGCAAAGTAAGTTTCTTGTGTCTAACTGTAAGCTGCACATGATTTTATAAAAGTCTGCTGGACTTTTTCTTGAAGAGGAATGGATAGACTGCACTAATAATTCCACTGAAGAAATCAAGGATAGACGGTCCTTTAGTTTGCTCTCTCTCTTTATTTAATATACCTATAGTACAGGTTGACCTTCTAAAACGGTAGCAGTGGAAATACGTGTCCAAATATTACCTTATAAAAAAATCAAGTATCTTTCAATGCTCTCTCCCTTTCTTTTGGCTTAAATGAACAAAAAATAAAGATAATTAGTCCCCTCTTACTTCTTAGTCCAGGGGTTCCTAAAATGTAGGTACTAGAGGGCACCCCTTCCTGGACATTCATGAGATATTTGAGGGGAACGGCATTTGCATCACTCTATCTGGACACAGGCGGCCTTCATTGGTCTGCTGGTGCTAAGTAGATTGGAGCTCTCTTTCAATGGCGCTTGCACAATGTCTGTCAAATGATAACCCTGATCCTGGAGTGTATTTTAACTATGATTCAGCTTTAGGTCTTAAAGGCTGGCTTGCACACACACCAAAAAGGAGCCCGTCAGAGTAATATTCAGGAGGGCAGATAATAATTAGATAATTCATGATTTTAGAGGAATGTGGTGCTATGAAGTTGGAGACCCTATGCCTTACCCCAAATGTTTTTTTTCAATACTTTAGTTTAACTTCTTGTGGTATATTTCAATCCAGGTAATTAACTAACAACACTGTTCATGTTCTCGCTTTACTTAAGAAAGGCTCTTCCCCAGAGCAAGAGGCAGCTGTTGTTCTCAGTCTTTTCTGAGCTTTGTATTATAAAAACAAAAGCAGCTTGGCAACTTTAATTTCTGCAGAAAGTCCTCATTTGGCAGAAAGTACACATTTCCAAAGGCTACACAAGTTTTCTGGCAGTGTATTAGTGAGGGAGAGAAACAGTGTGGGGAGAGCTTGGAAGAAGATAAAGATGTGCCTCAGAGAACAGGACAACTCATCATGGCCAACCCGGTGTGGCCATCTTGCCATGGCCCTCTTGCCACAGAACAACTTGCTGTAGCCAACATGCTGTGGGACAATTCATTGTGGGATAACTCAACACGATAAATTTCTGCCACTGTTTCTTCGACATCATTGCCACTGACAAAAATGGAAATAATGTAGAAAAAGAGTGGCGGATAACTCTTATCACATTGAGTTATCTCACATGGATTATCCCGTGGTGAGTTGTTCCGTGGTGAGTTGGCCATTGTGAGTTGTCCCACAGAGAGTTGGTTGTGGCAAGATGGCCTCAGCAAGATGGCCGTGCTGGCTTAGTCACAGCAAGATGGCCATGGCGAATTGGACAGGGTGAGATGGCTGCAGCGAGATGATTGTCCTAGGCGCCCCAGAGAAGGTGTGAGCTCTTGAGTTTGGACCTGCCTGCTTATCACTTCCCCACTTTCCCCCAGCATGTGACGGGGCCATCACAGAGCATTCTTCTGGGTGTTTAGACCTTTGTAAAAAAAAAAGTTGTCACTAATGGACAAGGTGAGTCCTTAAATCTTTGTGGAAAGGTCATTTGAATAAAGGCAGCTCACCCTGTAGACAAGGGAGGAAGGTGTTATCTGTCAACATTCTCTCCTATTGCACAGTTAAAAGAATTCCTGGCCTGGAGGCAGGTAGGAAGTTATTAGTATAATGGAGAATAAGGCCTGTTATGGATTTTTGTTATAGTTAATCTATAAAACCCTAAATATTCAGAGAATTTGTCTTGTATGTAAAATTCTATAGGAGCCTGATACAACACAAAAATGAGAAAGTCTGTCATCCAACTCCCCATGGATGCAATAAAGCTGAATACTCTTGCATCTGGAAAAGGAGATCATCCTAAAAATTTTATGTTTATTCTTCCTGTCTGACACATCTAGAGCTGTCTCTGCACAATTACCATCAGGGTGACAATATTATTTGACAAGTATAGCTGCACTTGCAGCTCCATGATCCAGTAAGAAAATATTTTCAATGCGAATCCCAACAAATTTTCAATGTATAGTTTAAAACCGTACGTTAGGTGGATTTTAAGAGGAGATTTAATAACTCGGGATCTGAGAAACAAAGTGGGTAGTGTTTTGTGTCTTTCTCTCCTCTTGGTTTCCTGCAATTACTTGTAACCTTCTTATCCTTCAAGATAATATCAAGCATAAACATTAACCTGATCACTGAAAGATGTTGCAAGGCATCTGCACAGGGAAATGGGACAAACCTTCAAGCTTGTTCTTCATTTTATTGAAAGAGAAAAATATCCATGAAAAAGAAGCATGGGAAAAGGATCACAAGCCAGCATGTTTCCACAGGAAAGAGAACATGGCCCTGGAACCACTACATATCTGAGCATCCCACCCCGAGAAAATTAAATAGGCAGGCAGGCACAGATGCTGAGTCTTTCAACCATCCCAGAAAGGAAGGTCACATTTCAAATGTTATGTGCCCTATAGGTGAAAAGATGCTTTCCTCATATTCACAGATGTATTCTATGCAACAGAGTTGGCCACATTACCAAACAGCTTTCATTACAGAATGATTGACTACAGGAAAGGCACAGGAAGGAATTAATAACTTGCTGCTGACTCCTGTCCACTGGCAGATTATTGATTCAGTGGCTCATACTTTCCCAGAGATCTGCCCATCAGTTTCTTGCTAGCTTGCTCCTTGGCAGTAGGGCTGGGTTTTGTTCTGGATCATTCCTGAAATGACCTTATTTCAGCTGAGGTCACTGTTAGCAGTACATCTGTGTAAGAAAGGAAGGGGAGGGAGCACTCACTGATAAACTTTCAAGATGGACCAGCACTGGCTTGGTGGGGCCTGATACATTTGGTTCCTCTTTGCTTTTGATCTTAATGATCATAGACATAAGATGTTCCTTGCCACAAGGCATGTGGATGCACAGCATGTCATGTATTTTCCTGGGCCAATTCTTCAGGGCAGGAAGTCTGGTTCTGGGGCTTTAGTAGATGCATGACAGGCTGTGGTTGGGAAGAAATATTATGTTGTGGGTCTACTGTGCCATGTCCTGCTGCTGCGTGATACAAATGTTTCTTGTACTGCACAAACATGCAGACCTTAAGAACAATGGCCAGCACGTTCTTCCCCATGAAGATACCAGAGACACGAATGTCCCGAAAGAATAACATATTACTTCCCCTGATGAAGATTGTGGTGATATTGATTGTAAGCATGCTCAGAATTGGGTACAGCATCATCCGGTGCGGCACGATGCTGATTCCTTGCATACTAATTTCACACAGCGACACACAAGGCAGAATCAAGAGGAGGATGTAACAGTAGAAGAACATCAGGCCTTCGGCCCAGATAGGTAACCCTTTCTTCTGAGGCTCCCAGAGATTGGCCTGAATGTCCAGCACATCCAGCATGTCGACAATGACCCAGAAGAGACGATTACGAAGATCCTCCTTTTTCTTGAACGTCCTGACGTACTCCATATGCTCTGTAGCCACCAAAAGCACATAGAGGGCTGGGATGCAGATTGACAGCAGAAGGGTCAATGCTTTGCGGGCCATGAGATCCAAACTTTTCCTGTCAGCCTTATAGTTCTGATAAATGAAGTAGACTTTGATTTCCAGCACGAAGACATACAGGAACCAAAGGATCATGGCATAGCCTCGCTTAGCAGTCCTCACTTCAGCCCCAACCCAAACAGCGACATACCTGAGCACCAGCAGGAAGCAGATGTCTCCAACTGAGACCATGATGCAAATAGCCAATTTCCTCGAACCCTGGTTCTGTTCCACCAGATAAGCATCCATCAGCACCATGCTGCTCATGATGAGTGTAGTGGATAGGCAGACATGGGGTTTGTTAATAGGAGGGGGAGGAACCATTCTGAAACACATAGTACACATATTATTAGTCCAACAGAATTTCTGTGCAGCCATGGCCTTTCTCTATGCTCATTGTTAGCACTGTGTATTCTATAGCTTCATCATGTGTGGGGTGTCAACTAACTGTATCTCTTCATCTAATATCCCCATAGTTGAATAATACACCTTAATATGTTTTTAAATTCCCAAAGAAACTGTATAGATATAACATTCAAGCAATGGAAACTGAACATGGACCTTTAATTCAAGGTTTAATGCATGTACTAAACACACACACTCTATGCCAAACGTTCAGATATGAACATAGTAATATTGTGCTTTCAGTACTTAGAAAATATTGTAAGTTTCCTTTTTCCTCTGTGCAATATGGGAAAAATATGGATATCACTGTTTTTCCTTCTATCACTGTATTCCCAAAGGCCTCCCATCCATCTGGACAAACTTTGGGAATTCCATGAGGAGAAGCTATAAGTGAAAATGGTCTGATCCCTTTTCTAGCCACCATCTAAATTTGAATTTCACTGAGAGATCACTCTCTTCAGTAAAGCCTTGATCGTGATCCAAATCTTTGATTTTAATAAAAACATGTTCTAGTGATGGATGGATCCCTGATTGAGATTACATTTTATGGAGATGTTTTGCAGAATCAATGACATCAAATTCTCAAGTTGCCAGCACAAGTTGTTAATTCTACTGTGGCCTCAGAAATGGGCTTTACAGAACAGGTTGTGAATAAAATTCAAGTTCTTATGTTACATGTGCTCCCAATTTCAATTTATTGTCCCTCATTCACACCCTGACAGACACACAGATCTTGTAAAAACCCCCTTGCTTTCTCCAAATGGGTGCAATGAGAGTAGACTAGATACACACACCCAGTCAACAGCTGGGAAATAACTAGGGACAAATACAAATCTGTTTCAACCAAACACTAAGGCACATCAGGTTCTTTGGAATACACAGAGACCTGGTGAATTTAAAGAAATAGCAAAACTTTACTGGTTACAAGGTATACTCACTCTTTCTCACACGTATGTACATTCATTCATGCTTACCTACATCCTTTCAACTAGGATGCCAGGCATTAGCTAAGAGGGATGGAAATTGCCAAGTTTGATTCCAAAATAATTCTCAAGGAGTGGGTGGGCTTGTGGACCTCTTTTTGTTCCCAAGGATTCTTGCTTTATTGACTAGCTGGAATGGGATGGGGACCCCGTTTCATGTGTTCAGGCACAGCTTCCTTTGTCTGGTTCAGGTGACATTTTTTTCCTTTATTCTCTTAACAATTTGCTTCCTTTTTATTCCTGTAAGGGACCTTGTAGACAAGATTCCTGGCTTTTTGTCCTCTCTGCTTACATGCCTGTTTCCTCTTTATAGGTAGTCCTCAACTTACAACAGTTCATTTAACGATAGTTCAAAGTTACAACTGCCTTATGATCCATCCTCAAAGTTAAGACCATCACACCTCCCCCATGTGATTGCAGCTTGGACACTTGGCAACCAGTTTGCATTTACAAGGATTGCAGCATCTTGCAATCATATGATCATAATCAGCAACCTTCCCAGTCAGTTTCTGACCAGGAAAGTCAATTGGGGAAGCTGGATTTGCTTAATGACCATGGTAAAAATGGTTGTAAAATCAGGTCCAGTCACATGAGTGACTCAGTTACTGACCACATCACTTAGCAACCAAAATTCTGGTCCTAATTGTGGTCATAAATCAAAGGCTACCATAGTTATGGCAGCTTCTGACTAATCCCACACATTTCTACCATCATGCGTTGAGCACTGTATCCAAATATTGGAAAGAGATTGAAAATGAATTAAAGGCCAGGAAGAAGCCCAACAGCTGTAAACTAGATCAAGCTCAAGAGCAGCCTTTCCTAACCAACTGTCCTGCAAAAGGCCTGGGTTAGGTCTTCCAGAATTCCCAGATAGGTTACATGCCCAACATGCAGCTGAGCCATTTCCTTGTTCTTTCTTACTATAGAATGTGCAGTCCTGATTCAGACTGGGTCTATAGTAGGTGCTAAAAATCTTTTCTCTCCTGTACATTTCATTTCCAAAATTCTGGAAAGAACCTCCTGAGCCGTGGTGGCGCAGTAATTAGGATGCAGTATTACAGGCTACCTCTGTTCACACACCAGAAGTTCGATCCTGACCAGCTCAAGTTGACTCAACCTTCCGAGGTCGGTAAAATGAGGACCACAGGGTTGGGAGCAATATGCTGACTCTGTAAACCGCTTAGAGGGCTGTAAAGCACCGTGAAGCGGTATATAAGTCTAAGTTTGTTCAGTATACAGTATATATATTCCTACGACCACCCAGGCAGTAACTGCTTTTCCTGGCCCTCTACCACTCACATGTTTATTGATTTCATATACTATTGGCAAAGCTGGAACAATTAGGCTACTGCTAAATTAATTTTCAAAAGGCTTACAAGCTTTTGCTGCTTTGAGAGATTTGAGAGATTCTTGTCAAAGTAACATCAGTAGGAAGAGGGAAAAGCCGAAGCCATATCATAATGATGATCACCAGAGCAGGGAATGAGACCCACTGAATGAAAAACGGGGGATGAAAAAGACCAGGAATTTTGAAATAAAGATGGAACAGAAATGCAGATTTAAAAACAAGGATATCAGATAGTACAGCTTGCAGGCTCTTCTATGACCTTGGGTGGCCCTGAGTTTTTCTTCCAATGCAATTGACAAGAAACTGGAAGCCCATTATCCTGCTTATATCCAACCCACCCTGTCCAAGCCATTCTACTGATGAGACTGATTACTTACATTCAGAACACTTGTCTTTCTGTCATTTTGCTTTCTTGTTACAGAGAATTCAGCTAATTGTAATACCATACAAAGCTCTAAACTGCACAAACTCTATATAGGCACCCATGTTAGGCCTCAAACCCAAAAATGACACATGGTGGAGTTCTTTATTGTTTCTACACCTACAGACAGAATCTTGCCAGACTAACTGCTCTACTATCTGAACCTACCATATACTCTGAGAACTATTAGGGAGGGTTGTCTTGAACATCTTTCTCCCAGCATAAAATATCTGTATTGAGTTGTCTCTTATTCCTCTGGAAGGCACTCCCTTCCTCCTGGGAATCTAGCCTACTACACTCCATCACACCCCACCTGCTGCTACATGTAATTATTTGCTGGCTAAGATCTAATAAAGATGCTCTCTAAAGCAGTGTTTCTCAACCTTGACAATTTTAAGGCATGTGGACTTCAACTCCCAGAATTCCACAGCTAGCAATGCTGGCTGTGGAATTCTGGGAGTTGAAGTCCACGTGCCTTAAAATTGTCAAGGTTGAGAAACACTGCTCTAAACACTGCTCTAAACACTGCTGCACTGGGAATGGGACAACTTGCCACAGCCAACTTGTTGCACGGCCAACTCACCACGGCCAACTTGCCACAGCCAACTTGCCATGGGACAACTCACTGTGGAACAATTTAACAACTCTATTTAATGATTTAAAATAAATAAAGAATTATTTTAATTTTTGTTGATTATATTTCATTCTGTCCCTTCTTTTGCATCCTTTCTTTAATGATTCTATTCCACCATTTCTTTGATAGTAGTGTAACTTTTGCCTAGCAACAAGTTGTCCTGTGGCGAGTTGGCTGTGGCAAGTTGTCCTGCAGCGAGTTGGCTATGGCAGATGATCATAGACCTGCTGCATCTGCTGGAAATTTGCAGTGCGTTGACTCAAATGGAAATGCTCAGAACACGGATGCTCTGGTCACGGAATCCCTCCTTGTTCCATTAGAGTTGGCCACAATATTTTTAATCTTCTGGTTAAACTAATGTCTGGTACTCCTATCCCTCGTCCAAGAGTTTTTGAAAGCAATTGAAGATACCTAACGTGCTTTTTAGTTTTTTTCCCCTTTAATTATTTTAAGCTATTATCATTTAAGAACAATGTTTTTTTAAGAATCTGTACCCTGCTTATGGATTGTAATGCTATTTAAGTGTAATGTTATTTAAACTTAAACTGAATTAAATTAAATTCAGTGCACTTAAATTATTCCTCTCTGTTTAATCGTTTTCTCCTCCTGTCACCTTCAGAATTATATTACTTTTGGAGGAGCTCCAGAGCCAGCCCTAGAGATGGGAACAGGCATTGCTCACCTGCAGTGAAAAGAAGAGCGCTCATTCATCCTAATTTAGAGATGGTTGGATTGGGGCTGTGGTGTGATCTTTTTGGCCATTAGACAGCTGTTTTTTAGGTTGAACAGCATCACATTTTAAGCAACATCACTCCATCTCATTATTGTGAAGTGACCTAGAGTTTGAAGCATATGTCTTGCACATATTCTAAATTGACATCTTGACTCTACTGGCTCACTGATACAATAGAATTATATTTGCATAGCTCAAGAATGGACAATAATAATAATTTACTGGAATCCATTAATCAGTGTATGAATGGTAAATCAGTAAATACTGGATAAAAATGAATGAATGATCCAACCAGTATTCAGCACTTTTAATAAATCTTGTTTATTTTAAACGGAAAGATTTATAACTGTTTCATTGACTAGATTTCATCTACATATAGATGATATACAACAGTAAAAACTGAGGTTTCTGTATCTCTTCTCTAAACAGTTACACAGAGAGGCAATTTTAGTGTATATATACATATTATATTAGTATTGTCTTGTGAACTTTTTTGCAAAAGGCGAGTTACTCTAGAAATGTTAGTGCATTCTATTTATACAGTGATTTATGAGTAATTCACATACCCTTTATTTTATTTTATTAAAAAAAAACAGATATTCAGAGTTTCTAATAGATATGTATATAATGTTCAAAACCAAAACAAAACTGAACCATAAATGAAGAGCAAAGAAGGCAAAGAAACATTGTAGATATGTTCTGCTTCCCCTAGGGCAGTGTTTCTCAACCTTGACAATTTTAAGGCATGTGGACTTCAACTCCCAGAATTCCACAGCCAGCAATGCTGAAGTCCACATGCCTTAAAATTGTCAAGGTTGAGAAACACTGCCCTAGGGTTAGTTTTGGCTTGGAATGTTTTGTGAATGGAATCAATTACGTTTATAGCTCAGTGTGATATATGAACCCAGCTAATTATGGATTCCTGTGACTTAGTCAGGAAATCAGTTAAGTATGACTTAGCCCTACTTTTCACAAGCTGAGATCTACCAATGTTGGGACAAAATTCTCAGAACTGAACATATTGCCTTGGGATTCTGGGAATTGCATTTCCAACATAGGGAAAGTATGCAAAGATTGCCAAGCATGTTTAGTGTGATGTGTTAAGCCTTGCTTAAGGACGCCCTGTGATTTTTTCCCCAGTAATTTAGATTAAAAGTCAGTCTCATGCAATGCAATTTTTAAATGGTTGGGGAGTTCATTTCCCATGGGAGATTATGTCTGAGTATATAGGCTGAGCCTATTGATTACTAAGTAGTGCAAGCTCTCAGGACTCGTAGTTAGCAATTGGGTTACGGTTTTTGAAGGCAGAATTGAGGATTTGTTCAGTATTGCACTTCGGAAGATTACTCATGGGATTCAAAACTGCAGATGTGGGAAACTATGAGAACTACCAAAAAAGAAGGAAAACAACAACAAGAAAAGAAGCATTGTCTGAGACTACAGACAATGGCAGAAGACAACAAAGCACATACAAACAGAACTAAGATTGAAGCCTGACTGGGGATAAAAATGCCAGATAAGCTGGTGAAGAAAGACTTGCTTACAATGTGATACTTTTCTTCCAGGTTTCCGTGCAAGAAAAATGCATGCAAATACGAATATAAATTTTCTTTTCCTAGTCTGTCCACTGATCTTTCCTATGATAAATCCTCACTGCTGTTTATATAAATCTATGGAGAAAGTTGCCAGAAGCCGCAAGTAAAAGCAAGAATTTATGCTTCTTTCATGTGTAACTGGTTTTTAAGAGCAACTTGTTAGGCAATACTGTATCACAACATTAAGTAGGAAGTAGTAAAATACTGTCGCAGGCCTTGACCTTATGTAGTAGTTGAACTAATACACTTCTCTAGAGCAGAGACAGGCCCAGGTTAATTAGTCGTAAAAGAGAAATGTAGACTACATTGCCCCATGTATTTACAAACAGGTTAAGATGGTTTGGAACTGGAATAGAGGCTAAATACTACTACTACTATAATCCCACAAAAAAGGACAATGTTTCACACAGTTGCAGCTGCCCTTTTGCTTTTCTTAAACCCCCTTGACAGACCTCATTGCTCCCTAGTCTGCTCTACTGGTTGAGTATCTAGGACCGGTTTAGGATTATGTGAAAGAGAATCATTTATTCGGAAACAATAAGCTTCTAAGAAAGTAAAAGAAGCAGAAAAATAAGGACGCTCTCATTTACCCTAAAAAGTAAATCCTCTTCTCTGGCTTCACAAGGACTACTTTAGTACGGGATTCAACACAATGAGGTAGATTATAAGCTACAAAGCAAGACTTTTGCTTTTTTTTAAAAAAAAAAAATCGACTTCCTTTGATTTAGAAGAAAGTGGCAGCAGAAATCAATTTAAACTTTGGAACCATAATTTATGCCAAGATGGAAAAGAGGCCATGTTAAAAAAAAAGATTGGTCTGAGGCATCAGCCTAGAACTCCAGAACCTCCTCAGGTAGTACGATAATAGGATGAAGACTTTTGATCAAAAACAAGGGACATAATGTTTATAGGTGTCTTAAATCTAATGGCAGACTGTCTGGATTCCATTAAAACAGAGCCAAGAGAAAATTAAGCACCCAACAAAAAAAGATGGCTCCAAGATATAGTATCATCATTTGGCAAAGGCAGTACTACTTTTTTTCATGTAAAATAAAGTTTCTACATCTATGGGTCAAATCCATTGTTCATAATCATTAGATTAATAACATTGGGGTTACAAACTCATGCTCATTATACACCACCCAAAGTCATTTTTGTGAGCCAGGCATATAAATTTGATAGATAAACAAATAAATACATAATATACTGCATGGAATTAAGAATGTAGAACAGCCACTGTAAAAATATTTCTCCCAAATTGTCAGCACCTCTCTCTTGTCTCTGGTAACTTTGAAGCTGCTGAATATAAGCAGATTCATCAAGTCCGTTTGATGGTATATCTAGTTTCTGGATTTATTAAACTAGTTTCTAATTTATTAAAGCAGCATCATTAAAATATGTGTAGCCAGTAAATAGACTTTTTTCTATTTTTAAGCATTTATTTCCTACATATAGGCTGGAATATAGGCTTTCTTAGTCCATCTGATGGTAAATCTAGTTTCTGGATTTATTAAACTAGTTGTTAATGTATTAAGCAACATGATTAAGAAATGTGCAGCCAGTACGTAGGGTTCCCCCCCCTATTTTTAAGCATTTCTTTCCTACATTTTTATCAAAAAATCTTCTTTTGGCTATGGTCACCCAACATGCAAAACCATAGTTTATTAAATGAATCAGAACTGGTTGAGTCCCCAGAACTAAAATTATAAAGCACAATTTACAAATGATTATGTCTGGGTTAAACGAACACAACTGCGGAGGAAAAAAAAATCACCCAGAACCTGGGCTGAACATTACATCACTACAGGGCTCAATATTTAGAGCCAAATTTCCACCCTCCCATGTGAATGACATACTTGATCAAGTGCCAATCCATGCAGTGAGATCTACTAAGCAATAAGCTAAGCATAAAAAAAAAATGCCTGGTAGTTTTTCCCTGGCAGAGTACAAAGTATTCACTTTAACCTTTAAAACCCATCAACAATTTAGGATTTGATCTTCTGAGGGATCCCATATTTCAAAATGAACTTACCTGGGTGTTAGGTGCAGAGGGTCTCACTTTCTGAGGTCTGTTTGTTGGGCATATACGAGAAGAATTTCTTCTATACGGCTCACATCCATGGACATCTGGAAGGGGCAAGGGAAAAGTGATATCATACATGTCATAATGGAACTGATATAAATGTTGTCAATATGATATCATGATTGGTTCAACTCTGAGAAAAAGGAAGTAAGTCTTTCTTCTTCAGCTATGCCTTTGTAATCTGAGTTAGCTTTCATACCGGGTTAATTGTTTCAATGACATTTTAACTCTAGTTATGTTTTGTATTGTTAGCTGTCTTGATTGCTCTTTGGGCAGAAAGACAGGATATAAATAAATCTCTATACACATATTAGTCTAGCTTAACTCACAGGAAACAGGGACGCTTCACATGACATGCCTTAAGGCAATATACTACTCCCTCCTTCAGCTGTATGTCTTATAATTTCATCAAACTAATCAAGATTTATCAGCTTTCTCTCACCTGATGCCTGCCCAGAATTTCCATGCAGACTGCCAGTCTACCTTCTACCCAACAGAGTAGAAACAAGTTCCACTCACTAGTTCTTGCAACCTCATAAATATGCTTAATTGTAAACTGGGTGGCAAAGCTTCAGCCACAGAATGAGATCCACTAAAAATATTCCAGTATTGCTTATCCTGAAACAGGTCAATAATACTCTAAACAAAGTAGGTACTTCCTCATCTTTTTCTTCTTATGCTTAGGTGTAGTTGAAGGACTTAATGTTAGAGCTTTTTAATTGAGTACGTTAGCTGCCAAAAAGGCAATGTTGCAAGCAAAGGACAAATAGCCCATTTTTTGATATAGATCTCACTTATTCTTTCAATGGCCAGCAGCATGTGCACACCACTCTCTCTCCCTCTCCTCAATTTTCCATTTATCAAAACTCATTCATATCTTTTGTTGAGGCTGAGCTTACCCTTCATATAAATTGTGGTTGTCCAGTCTACCTGCTAAGCATGGATCACCTTTTGTTGTTCAATCCTAACTTGAGATTTTTGAGCTTTGGTGGAGCATTTGTGAAAGAGTATAGAAAAAAATGGGTGTATCGGCCTCAGTTTTGCACATAGCAGAGAAACTGTTATCTGTCTATTTGCAGCAGAAAAGAAAGTTAAACAGGTTGGCTGGTTTTGGGGTCATGTGCAGAAAGGATTGCTGCATTTTTTTCACAAGGGGCTTCCTGGCTACAATCAATGGAATTTATAGTGTAGCACATCTGGAAAGTGACAGTTTGAAAAAAGTTCTTTATACAACCTATCTTTTCGTGCACTCCATATTAACCATATTGAGTTTGCATGTGTGAGAGACGCCTATCTACCTAGAAATATTATAATTAATGCTTTTCAGGGGTAAAAGGTCATGATACAGAAAGTCTCTGCCTGGTTCTTTCATGCTTTCTTATTTTATCGTGGAGAGATGTAGGTTAGACAGCAGAATCAATCTGGGCAGAGAAAGGAAATAGAAGAGAAATAGAAGGAAAGAGGCACTTGGCCCATCCAGATCATTCTTCCCTGCCAGAATGAAATCAATTTTGGTGAAATTTCTTATCAATTACAGTTAGACCATAAACATTTTAGTGAATATTTTGTATATTGAATAATAATACTGATCGTCAGTAATCACATGAGAATGTTGGCAATCTCAGGATAATTTTGTCACTCCTTGGAGTCTCCATATGCATATAATCATATTTTCCCCACCTCTGGGACACATACAACTTACATCTCAGCGATTGCCAACATTCAGAAGAGTTTTTTCTGTAGGGCAGAACATTTGCCCAGAATCATGAAGATTCATGAGCAAATGACACGTTTTCTTCAGGTTCACACTTTCACCCTAACATATTCAAATCCAGCCACCCGTTCACTGCAGCATCAATTTGTTTTTTGGCTGCTTTCCAAAGAAATCCAAGAGCAAAACCAAAACCAAAGCTGGTTTAGTGAAGGATTATTTTAGACAATAATAACAATAATTAATAGTAGCAGTAGTTCAGTATTACCTAGTGGTGGTCTTGAAAGCCCCGGGACTTTTCTCCGGCTCACAACAGGGATGGTTTAGTGGCGAAAGACGGAGGGATCTTGAAGCGATCCAGTCAGTTAATCAACTGAGTTACGAAAAGAGCGAGATCCCCGGTAGAGCGAGGCCGTCCTTGGCAGCCAATGAATGCTCAGCAAGTTCTGCGCGTGGATTTCAGCCTGGTGAACAGCTCCCAGTCCAGGAGGGGCAGCCGCACCGACGCCCGTCCTGCCTTCCACGCCCGGAGCTACTCAGGCTGACTCTTGCAAGGGAGCCCCCCCCCCCCCCGCGTGCTAATCGCTACGGTCAAATCCGAATTCTCCCTCCGCACCGCCTCCACGCGCCCTCAGCGTCCCGACTGCCTGGCTCTTCGAGCTCCCCCACGCCGGTTCCTTCCCGCCGCTCCAGGGGGCTCCCTTCCGGCTGTTTTACCCTACTGTAGACCGATGCCGGGAGCGCTCTGCGCCGCTCGGTTGGCCGCTTCTCCCCGCAGATGCCTCCTCTCCGGTATAGGTGACGAGCAGCCGTTGGCCCGTAGCCCAGCAGCACCATCCCTCGCGAGGCAACCCGGGCAAGCAGCCTCTCCTTCCCGCGGGAAGCGAAGGTCAAGAGCGATTTTCACAAGCGGCGGTGGCCCACGGGTTTTGCAGTCCCCCCACCCACGAGCGCGGAGCGTTAGGGGAGGGGCGGGGCTGAGAACTGTGAAAAAGCGGCACCCGCGCACAACCACACACACACGCACGCACGCAAAAGTCCTCGAGGTGCCTGAGAAGAGCAGGACTTCGACTCCGCTCGGCTGCCCTCCAGCCTGGCCTCCACCCTTCTCTGGCTCTTGCCAGCCTCGGATGAAGAGCGGGAAACCGCTCCCCCGACCGGGGGGTCCAGCCGCACGAGCTGCGGCTGGGGGCGGGAGCTCCTTGCCCCTGGCTGGGCAGCGGGCGGCGGCTTCTGCAGTCTGGCAAGCGCCCGGCTCGGCGGGGCTGGGAGCGCCGCTGAGATCAAGCGCGCCTCTGTGCTGAGCTGAGCGAAGCAGTGAATTAAAGTGAGTTAGTCAGGCGGCATGGCCGCTCCCTCCAGAGATCGAGGCAGGCGAGGAGGAAGGAAGGAGCGGACAGCGGAGGGGCTAATGGAGTGCTTGTCTTATTGGAGAGTCTTACGGGAGGAGGAAGAGGCTACGCCGGGACGGTCCCGAGAGATGTGCCGGTGCTTGGTGTTATGCAAAGCAATCCTTCTTTGTTAAATTCCAGATGTTTAATTCCAGACGAGGGCAGCCATCTATGTATAAATGTGCGTCCGCCCCGGTGCGCTCTTGCTCAAACCTTCCTTCTCATCCCAGAAAGTGCTCTGCATCCCTCATTCTTCTCCTGTGTAAATGCTTCGCCGGCAAAAGCCAGAAAATACGCAAATCAAAGGATGTGCTTGGCTTAATTCCGAAGCTGCTAAATTTTGTGAGGAACATATATGTAGGCCTTGTATAATTGTCCTCCCTCATGCGCACGTACAGAGCCTCCCTCCCCACACAAATATAAGCATATTAAATTTCACTAGCTATAGTTAATATACTTTAAAACTCTTTTCTGCCTTCAAAATGGTTTTAGAAACATAATAGAGACAAAAAAAAAAAAAACCACTCCATAACAAGCAAGCTTTTCAGAAAGATTGTTCTGCCCAGCTCCAAATTTCCAGGATTGGCATTGCAGTCTTTTAACAGCTCTGGTGAGGAGAGAAAGGTGAATGAATGCAGACAGAGATAATGCCAAGTAATAGGATTTAATCATTGCTTTCTTATATAGGCTACTGGAGGTTAAGCACTTAGTGACACTGTACCCCTAAGAAAAATATCACATCACTAATCCTTTAAGAAAATAATCTTTTCAAAATAAAGATTTTAAAAAACAATTATTTACCTTTCATATATATATATGTATATGTATATATGTGTGTGTGTGTGTGTGTGTGTGTGTGTGTATATATGGAACACAAACGTATAGGATCCTATACGTTTGTGTTCCCTGTTTTTTATATATATATATATCCATCTCCTGTGGAATTTTTGACGAGGGATATAAAAGAAGTAATATGGTATTTATTTATTTTTTGGAAAAACAGTGATCTTGCCATTGTTGCTTAAGAATGACAGGTTTATAGGTATCCTATCATCTACCTAGTTCAAATTTAGCTACTAAATTTTAGCTACTAAATTTAGCTACTATTAAAAGGAAGAAGATGGAATCCTTTCTATTAATGAGATAGTGTCATCAGTTTCCAAGACAAGTATTAATAGATTCAGCAATAGAGTTTGAACATTGCATTAATCATGGTTGTTAAGCAAGCCACTATTGACTATATTTGTTTATTGTATTCAGCCAAAATTAACCACAGTGATGACTTACAGAAATATAGCTAGTTATTTAAATATCAAATTACAAGTATGGGAATATGAACTATTATATATAAACTCTCTCAAAAGTGATTAGATACTGGTGGCATAATATAAACATTTTTAGCTTGTTTGTACATATCAACCACTTGCTCACAATTCAAAATCCATTCTTTGATGTTATCAGATATAGAGACAACAATAGGGTGTTATCTTTAAGCTTGTGCTGTTCATCCTTATCTGTGTTTGTGTGTAAAATTATGCCTGAAATTCCTTCTCAGAATAGCTGTTGAAGTGACATCTTCAAATTGCCCTCTAGCTTCCCCCTTCCTGCATGTTATTAAAATTCAGGATTAACTCCAACTAGTGAAATTTATGTCTTATCTAGCTGAAAAGTGACTGCTAATCATAAACAGTGGCTTCACCTGTTTCTGCTATCAGCTTAAGGCTAAAGAAACCCAGAAATGAGGGGTCCTATGGTATCACTAAAAGTCTACACTGACTTGGTCCATAATTATCATTTCTGCTTGCATATCACTCTTGCATGTGTGTCTTGCTATTTGCTTCTCAGTTAGGGAAGATGACTCCTTCCAGGTCTCCATTGCACACTTAGCAATCCATATGATACATAATGCACTGTGTTTATCCTCTTCTGGGACAGTTTGCAATCCAAATGGGTTGGGGTGCAGCAGGGCTGTATTTGGCTACACATTTTTCTTTTTAAGTACAGAAAGAGGTAAGTGTCCAAAAACAAAACTGGTAGTGGATTTCAGGTATCAGGGACCAGATTTCACAAAATTTGGGAATGAACATAAGACATTCTAGAATCAGAGGAGACTTGAGTATAGTGGATGGCTACAATCTAATAATTCATTGGAAGTGTCACCAAGCCCACTGTGAAAAGGCAAATGATATAATGAAGTGTTAAAAGGCATGATGGAAGCAGTAGGGCAGAATAAACTTACTAATTTGCTTCCTGGTGAATGGATGTTTTTGTCTGGCCGTGTCCTCTAGGGTAACAGTTTTGTAAGAGTCCTGTGACATGCTCTTCAGATTCCACAAGTATCCATTGGCCCCTAATAGATTGGTTATTCCTGACATCCGGCATGCAGCTCAGCACGCTGGCTCTAACCCAATATTTCCCTACCCACATTCTCTGAGAAGCTGTGCAGGAGAGCTATTCTGTCATTCATGAGAACATGATAAAATTTCCTGTGTAATGACAGAGTCAAGGGCTGGATATACCATGTCTCTCCTCCTGGCCAGTACATTTAATCCTAGCAGGGGTGTCAAACTGCCAGCCTGCAGACCGGTTGCATCATGCAGAGGCTGCGCCCACCCCAGCTCTGGCAATGCGAAAACGTTGCGACACGTGACATGGCGAGTTTGACACCCGTGCTATATAGTATTCAGAAAACCTGGGTGAGGTCTAATTTCTAATATAAGTTGCCCCAAAGCTGCACTTCAAGACCATCTATATATTTATTCTTGTAACACAGTACAGGTTAGAGAAGCATCGTCACCCTGGCATATCAAAATAATGAAATTATAAACAGTACTATATATCTAAGGAAATGTATGCTCTTATGGTAACATGGATGCTGGGCAGGGGACTTTGAAAAGGGAGAATCAAAAGAAATTCTTAAATGCCAGGTTTCTGACTTCTAAATCTGCATGAAGATAATAGCCTGATTTAATATTTGCTGAGGATAACTGTAAGGCGGAAAAAAGAAACTTTGGACACATTTTCCTTCTGCTCAATTAGTCTCTGTAAATGTCCTTCCAGCCATTGCCTTCATTTCTGGGCTGGGTCTATCATTACACAGCAGATTCAACCTTCACCAGTTATGAGCTGTTAGAAGATGGAGCCCTGTGCATTACCTAAATGAGGCTGCCAGCTAGCCTTGAAATATGCTTTCCCGATGCTGCTCCTTAGCTGTTCAACTAAGATGTAATGGAACAAGAGAAAGGAGACAACATCCTTCATTTCAGTCGCTCTAAATCTTGGGTTGCCAAGAAGGTCACAAAAAATCTTCAGTACTAAGAAAACACTCTCCTCTGCAGCTTTTTTGCTTGGGCTGGATCTTGAAGCAGGCCTACCTTTATGATAAGGTTCATTTGAGAATATGCATTTTTTTATTAGTGGTCCCATAAAATTCTACTAAGATTTGGGCCTAGATCAGATCAGTTCCAGAAGTTATGAGCCACCTCTCATATCCATCTCTCCTAATAGGAGACAGCAACAGTGTTAAATACAAGGAATGCCAAGTGATCATAATGCCCCATATTTAGGACACTGCAATCTCATGCTGGAAAGGCAAGTAAGTACAGCACTAAATAGTGTAGAGGAGCTGGTATCTGACCAAGGAGGTTGCATGCTGATACTAAGTATAATCCAAAAAATCTTTCCTGGCAAGTTACACAGCTTTCCCTGGACAATATGAGCCTATGCCATGCAGAACAGGACCAGCACCTGACTCAGCAAATCTAAATAATTCAAATCAGAATTTAAGCGACTGATTTCAAATAATTAGAAATATCTCATGTGATGTTTTTTCCCCCAAACGATCTTATTGCATCTTGAAGACCAATCAATTTATTTTCTCAGAAGCATTTGGGAAATATATGTATATGGGTGGTTATATTCTCATAACGTATATTATCTATGTTTTTGTATCCATTTTTGTTGCAACAGCCTAATGCAATTATATTTCTGTAAACTATTTTAAAAGTTAATGATGCATGAAGTAACTGGCAGTTTGGCTGACCTTTAATGACACCTGAAAATTGTTAACGGGAAGCAGGCACTATCAGTACTGTTCAATAGATGATGATAAGGCTAATCCTGTTCTTAATAGAAGGAGAAGATTCTCTTTGTCATGTCCCCATCCAAATGCAGGCAATGCATGTCGTAGATTAGCAGACAGCCTCAAAGTGGCCACTGGGTGTCACTGAATCTCTATAGACAGGCTGTAGAAATGGGTGTATTTGTGTGCGGGGAAATAGCAAGTTCTGAAATTCACTCCTTGCCTGGTTTGTTGCCCCCATCTGAAAAACTCCCCAAGGAATAGTCATCCATGGACGTCTCCATGACTTCTGGCCTTTCTTTCAAATCTTTAGTATGCTATTTTGATACAGAGTGCATTTCTTCTGGGAGAGGAAAAAGAAAAGAGAAGATTGTTCTTCACTTCAACATCTTATCTTATTTGAACACAATCTAATTTATAAAGCTTTCCAGTAAATAAAATATTTGCTTAGCAAAATCATAGCCATGGATCTAACAAGAAAGTCACTACTGACATTTGGGAAAGACTAAAAATCCAGGAGTCTTTGCTGACATGAATTATTTTATTTGTTGCAGAAAAATATGGCTCAGAGAGGCTAAGGAAGATATATAACCAGATCAATTGATTCTTGTTATTTGAGCTGTTGCAACTTTATGAATCAAGCATGCACTTTCTCTCTACTGCTATTTCTATTTTATATACTGCAAGAGCTGTGGAATTCTGATAATCTTTTATTCATACAAGTGAAAAAAACTGCCCAAATGTTGGTGGTAAAACTGTAGAAAAGGTATCCATTATCTTTAATAGCTGTACAGGAGAGAGAATCTTAACAAAAAAGCATTATTTTTTCTCCATAGTGCTATACGTTAGCAAGCTATCCAATGAACTGTTAGTTATTTCTTACATATTTCAAGAATTGCATAGGCTTCTCTTTCTAGAACATCGTGCATTGTTCAAGCAATCCATTGAAAGTGGATTTCCCCATGAATTCATTTATTTTGTCCTAAGATTAAACGGCAGTCATACAAGCACAATAACATAACACAAAAGAAGCTTTTGGGGAGCATATCAAGTATGGTAAAGATAGAAGAGAATTTAGACTAGAGAGCCCTAGAGGCTCAAGAGGATTAGCTGAGCCCTATAATCCCCCACCTTGCAGGATCAATTTCTGATAGAATCACAACGTGAGCTGAGATAATTGTATTATTTTGACGTTGTCATTTGGGCCCATGCTTCCTTTGAATTTTAAACTCAGAATATTGGCAAAAGGCAGTACTCTAGACAATAAAGATAACATCTGGTCAGAGATGGGAAAATGTCTGGTTGTGGGAGAGATTTTTCCCAAAACAATGCACTGAATTCAATATGTTTATTCTAAGGGATTGGACTTAATATTTCAATTCTAAGTAGGACTGAATCTGGAAACAACCTG